CTGAACTTTTTTTTGAACCTTCTATGTTTGGCTGAACTTTTTTTGAACCTTCTATGTTTGGCTGAACTTTTTTTTGAACCTTCTATGTTTGGCTGAACAAACTTTTGAAGGGGCGAGGTTTGGGCTATGTTTGGACAACACAAACTTGAACTTTTTGGCGAGACTTTGATGAGCTTTAACATCCTCCTGTCTTATAAGGGTTCGGCCGTCTTAAGTTTGGTGCGGATAGAGGACTAACTACAAGTGACACATCGCTCCATTCTCGCTCATGAGCCGCGAGCTTCGCACCCCCCTTTTTGGAGTCCGGTGCCACGGTGGCCTCTCAGGCAGGTGCTGTCACACCAGCCGGGAGCCACCAGCGAAGTTCTGGTGAAAAAAATTCCTCGAGCCCACTCTGCGGTCGTGGGCTCTTCGTGTCACTGCTCACACATTCTGTGTGCTACACGACACATCGCTCCACTCTCGCTCATGAGCCGCGAGCTTCGCACCCCCCTTTTTGGAGTCCGGTGCCACGGTGGCCTCTCAGGCAGGTGCTGTCACACCATGTCGGCCGCCTGCCCCCCGTGGTGTCCGGAGGTGTTGCCAGTGAAGCTCCGAGGTGCATGGCCTTCTCCATGGATGAGGTGGCCAGGTCGAGAGTGTGGTACAGAGCGCACCAGTCGAACTCGATCCGCTTCCATCCCAGGGCTGTCGCCTGCGAGAGATCTCCTCGGCTGATGGCGTCCGAGATGTTAGCCTGTGAGGTCACTCGTTCCCAGTGTGGTTCGTGATTGGAGCTCTCCACGAACTGCCACAGGAATGCCAACAGGCGGTTGACCTTGGTGTCTCTGCCGTACCCTTTCTGGAGGGCGAATTTGCCCGGCTCATTGTCTATGAAGCACAGGCTCTTGTTCTCCATGTAGGGCTTGCCAGCCACCAAACAGAGGAGCTGGGCTATGATCTCCAAGGCATAGATGAATGCCCGTCTCGTGGTGAACCTGCCGAGCAAATAGCCCGGGATCGCTCCATGTGCGTAGTAGCACTCTTGATTTGGCCGGCGGATGACGAATCCCCAACCATTTGTCAAGAGGTTGGTGGCATCCGTGTGCCAGTCTTGGCGCTTGAGCGCAGTGCTGAGGTTGATCTTCTCGTCTCCAGCCTGGAAGTACGCGTCAGCGTACACAATGGAGCATGGTGATTGGAAAAATTGGAAAATGCGAGGTCTGGCATTTGGTAAAATCATCAAAACTGTCTGCAAGGCGTCTCTAATCCCGTCTCCCAGTGGGATCTGTGCGTGCTGGACTGGTGCCGATGCGCGTGCGTACAGGGGCTGTATGCAACATCGGATTGCTTGTGAAAACATAGCTTCGGAAAGAAACTGGAGCTTTCCTGCCAATCGATGCGCTTCATCTGAGGACATGGTTCCTCGGTCCATGATCTCGTGCAGCTGTGCTGTGATGCGCTGTGTGCGCGCGGGGTCAGTGGCGACTGTGAACGAGGTTTCACTGATAGTCATGATGACCCCTTGGATGTGCTGCTCTTTGGCCGGTGGCTGGTCCTTACTAGGCTTAAACTTGAAGCCGATTGTTTTCATGAGGTGGTGTACACAGTCGAAGCCGGACTGTATGGTGTACGGGGGTTCGATGGAAGCGTAGTCATCTACGTAGTGCACCATGGGTGAGAGTGTCAGTGCACGGCACAGCCAGCAGATCATGTCCGCTGTCCTTGTGTAGGCCCACACTGAGGCCGTGCTCCCGAACAGGAGGCACCTCTGTTTCCAAAGTGTCCATCCGCCTGGTATTCTCACCAGGACATGGGTGTGGTCTGGGTTGGCTACAGGCAATTGCCGGTATGCTGACTCGTGGTCTGCTCCCCACAAGTACGTTGTGAATCCCTGGCTTCGGAATTCGTTAGCGATTGCGATGAAGGTGTTCACCCTGTGTGTGGGGGGGATGTCCTCCCCCTCCACTGTTTCATTGCGTCGACACTTCTCTTCCACTCTTCGCACCTGCGGACTTTCGTGAGCCCATCAGCCCCGGTCTGCTCGACCGAAAAGGCGAAGCTTGTTGGTACGTGGCATGTGGGTCCGTTTTGGAGCCTCTGTGTGTTGTGGTGGTGCACGGAGGGAATGGTTCTTATGCCCCATGACGGGGGCGCTGTCAGTGGGCCTATCATCCGATCTTTCTCGATGTCTTGGGAAATCTCGCCGAGCATGGCGTGCCAGTGTGGGTCTGGCCTCGTTTGATGGACAGTATGTGTTCTTCGTTGAGTGTGAGAAATGTGTCAAAACGCATCGGCTGTGCGTATTTCATGTCAAGGCGTGTCTTCCACCCGAGGCCTGGACTCATGCGGCCTACTACTGGGAACCCCGACTGGATTTCGTCCAGTAATGTTGCGTCGGTCCACCCGAGTCTCCCCAACAAGTGGGACAGGAGGGGGAAATGGATTCGATTCGGTCCCGACAGATGAATTCTTAACGACTGTCCGAATGTTCTCTGTCCGTGCTCGGTGCCAGGCGCAGACAAGGGTGCCAGTGTAGCCAAAGGTGTATGGCCTGTTTGAGTCCAGGCTCCAATGTCTCAGCGACGGCCGCTGGGTGTTGGCGAAGATGGCTCTCTTGCCAGTGCTGCTCGATGCAAGTGCACCTTGTCATCCAGTGGTCGTCGGTGTCACTGGTGTCGGGCCCGCAAGCTAGCGGTCCGGAGCTCCATATGGACGTCATCACGTCCAGTGCGCTATATGCCCCAGTGGTTGGAGCTCTGGGGCTATGTGGACCGGTGCGGTCTGGGAAGCCGCCGCTGGGAAGCAGGTCAAAAGCGTC